CAGCGAGGGCCCCTGGAGGCCGAAAACTGCCAAAAACCGCCCGCTCCAATTTTTTGGAGCGTCGGATCTCACGGCCTGGGGGGTAGGAGGGAGGGAGAGGCGGAGGGACCGGGGGAGGGGGGCAGGAGCGGGGAGAGAGGCGGCGGAGCGGCGGAGGAGCGGGGAGGAACTGAGGGGGGGGGGCAGCGGGGAGAGGCGGAGGAACAGGGGGGGAGGTCAACCATGATGGGCGTCCCGTCATGGGCGGAGGGGGGGGGGCGATGAAGGAGGGGGGGGGGGCAGCCGAGGTTTGCAGAACAGGAAAAGGGGGTCCTTTGGGCCACCTGACGGGGGCGCCTTCGGGGCCCCAGACATGCACTTTTTTCTCCCCCCCCAATGGGGAGGGGCCAGGGGGTATGGCGGCACCGTCTCATCTCTGCTCGCGCGCGCACGTGCCGTGGCGAGGAAGCGGTTCCGGTTTCTGTGGCAGCGGACGTGGACGGGGCGGCATGATTCAGCAATCTTGGCCACCGGGAGTTGTGGCCAACGGTTGTGTGCCCGTCACGGCGGCGCGAGCAGTCCTGTAGCCTTAGCGGGCGCAGCGATATGCCAGGATCTTGCCGCGTCAGAATCGGAGTTGGATCTGAGATCCAGTCCAGAGCCGACTCTGTGGACCAAGAGCGCCCCGCCCTTGTAAGCGGCGCCCAGCAGCCCCCCCCCCCGGGCCAGCGGCGGAGGAGAGGCGGAGGAGGAGGAAGAGTAGGAGGAGGAGGAGGAAGACAGCGAGGAGGAGGAGGATGAGGAGGAGGACAACGAAGACGAGGAGGAGGAGGAGGAGGAGGAGGAGGAGGAGGACAAGGAGGAGGAGGGTGGGTGGCGACGACGCAGATCTTCGGCAAGTCGGCCCGATCAGCCTGCTCCGCGTGGATCAGCAGCAGGCCGGGGCCGCACGTCCAGTCCCGACGTACATTTTCTCCGTCCACCGCATCTCTTCGCTCTCCCTCTGGCACCCTCCTCCTCCTCCTCCTCCTCCTCCTCTCCTCCTCCTCCTCCTCCTCCTCCCTCCTCCTCCTCCTCCTCCTCCTCCTCCCCCTCCAGGGTACCCTACTCCTTCTCCTCCTCCTCCTCCTCCTCCTCCTCCTCTTATTCCTCCTCCTCTCCTCCTCCTCCTCCTCCTCCTCCTCCTCCCTCCTCCTTATCCTCCTTATCCTCCTTATCCTCCTCCTCCTCCTCCTCCTCCTCCTCCTCCTCCTCCTCCTCCTCCTCCTCCTCCTCCGCCCTCTCCGCTTTTCCTGTCCCTTCCTCTTTTGCGTCCCGCTTGCCCCCCCCCCCCCCGCCATCCCCTCGACCACACCACCCCTCCCCCCTCCCACACCTCGATCGAGGAAGGGGGGGGGGAGAGGAGAAGGAGTGAGGGAGGGAGGGAGGAGGATAAAGGTGGAAGAAAAGGAAAGAGGGAGGGAGGGAGGAGGGTAAAGGAGGGAGGAACGGATGATGTGCAGGACGAGGAGGAGGAGGGAGGAAGGCGTAGCCCCTCGTCTGGCCGCCCACCCCTCCGCGCCAACAGGAATCTGGAGTCGGTGCTGAGGGCCCTGGACCAGAAATGCACCGACGCGTCTGCTGCACGCGATGAGGCTGCAGGGAGGAGGGTGAGGAGAAAGAGGAGGAAGCGGAGGAGGAGCGGGAGGAGAAGGAAGAGGGGGATAGGGAGAAGTAAGAGGACCATTCGGCTAACCAGTGGTTTGTTGAAACCAATCTCTGCCTCATCGCCAACACGCGTGAGGAGACGCCGTCCATGCTGCTGCTGCTGCTGCTGCTGCTGCTGCTGCTGCTGCTGCTGCTGCTGCTTGGCCCGTGCGTTTCGCCGATGTTCAGGAGCGGAGCGCCATGCACCTGCGACGCAAGACCTTCTCCGACTGGGCCCATGACTGCGAGGCTGGCCGCATCAAGCCGTTGTTCTCATGTACGAAGCCTCCCGGCTCGCCGCACTCCCAGGTGAAGAGACTTGGCGTCGACACGTATACCGCGCAGCACGTGGCCGATGATCAGATGAACGGTTGGCCTAAGATCTGGAAGGCTACGCCTGTTTCGAGCTGCACCCCCTTGTCCCAGGTGGAGGGCGAAGGCCACGGTAGTCACTCCTATGGGACTCGGCATTTGGCGAACTCCAATGACACTTCAGACATCGACCTGGCCATCCAGAGGATCCCGAAGGCGGCGGCGCCCGCGCCTCGCAACGCTAAAGTTTGCAGGGCCGACAAGAGCTTCAGATGGACCACAGGACAAGGAACAGATAAGTTGGCACCGAGGTCCTTGTGCCTCGTGAGTGATACTGCACTGTCTCTTCGCATCTGTATCATGTGACCCGCCGAGCATCGGGAACTTTGCCCCGCACAGATGATGGTGGTTCACATTATACTTCTGCCGAAGCCGAAAGGGGGATGGCGCCCAATTACGTTGCTGGTTACCGTCTACCGCGTCTGGTCTCAGATCCGAGGGCAACAGTTGCGCGAGTGGCTTCTGGAACACGATCGGCCCTATTTCGCCTTGGCGGCAAACGACACTACACTGAATGTTGCCTCTCGGGCACTACTGCGTGCAGAGGCTGGTCTTGCCGATGGCCTCGGAGTGGCCACCGCCATTGTGGACATCGAGAAGTGTTTCGACCGCATTTCGTGGCCCATATTGGCCGACGCTGCCCGGAAGCATGGCTTTCCGCGGCAGTTATTGGCGTGCGCCTTGGCTATGTACCGTGCCCCTCGCGGATCGGTGCGGTTACAGGCCACGTCTTATTCGGTCGCCGTTGAGCAGGGCGTGCTACCAGGACGCAAATTCGCCATCGCTTCCGTGCAGCCACTGATGATGTCTGCGCTCGATGAGTACCTGGCCCAAGCCGACGCCATCGCCAAGTCTGGCACCAGCACCTCGCGCACCTTGGATGTTCTCGACGATGACCTCACCTCACAGGTTACTGGCCCGCTGCAGGTGCTGGAGGGGCAGGCATCTGACATCATTGTCCTGCTATGTGACTCCTCGCAGGACTTGGGCCTCCCAGCGGCCAAGTCCAAGGCGACGTTGGCTGCGTCTCACGGCAGCACCGCCCCCCGCGTCTTTCCGAGGCTTCGGAGATTTGGATTCCGTGCCCTCTCCTGGCCGGAGGTCCTTGGGCGCGAGGCCGGCGCGGGGGAGCCAATCCAGTTTCGCGTCTTACGCCGCGGGGTGAAGGCTATCTCCAAGCGAGCCCGTCGCTTCCAGAGGCCCTCGGTCTCGGGGGCCAAGCGTCGGAAGGTGGCGCGCGCAGCCATCGGCCCTGTCATCACTGATGGCCTGGGCGTCTTAGGAGCTGCGCCACGCATTGTCCAGCGCATGACGGGCCAGGTCAAGGCGGGATGGGGCGCGATTCCATGTGGTGCCTCTCATTGGACTGCTTCGCGGCTCGCTCGGTCGCCTGGTTATCTTCCCGCTTGTGTCTTTGTCGTTGGGCCCATCCACAACTGGGCAGCGATGGCCCGCGACGGTAACGTCGACCAACTGGATATGCAGAAGGCATGGCGTACGCAGTACCGCACCATTGCTGCTGCTCCCCAAGGAGACAACTGGAGGCTCGTCACTGGACCAGCTAGCGCTTTCTTGCGTTCTATGTTGGCACGTGAATGGACTTGCTCTTCTGCCGTTGCTGTCCGTACCAGGTCTGGCGAGCTGTTGGATCTTCGGGAAACGGCGCCTTCTGTGGTTCGAGGGTTTTTTTTACAGGACTGTGAGGCAGTTGGTTGGTTACAGCGGTCTAAGCGTCGTGGTTGCATGCCTGAGTCGCCTGGGCCCAGTCGCGAGGATCCTGCTGGTTGTTGGCTTGCGCCGACGCGCGGTCTCTTTCAGGCGGGGCGGAAATTGAAGAAGTGTCTCTTGGATCCAGTTGCCAAAGCCGCAATTCGTTCTACTGTCCAACGGGGGGGGGGGGGGGGGGCATTTCTCGCAGCAGAGGCTTTGTCAGTGCGCATGTGCGACCTCCCCGCGCTGTCTGTTGCGCGAGGATGCCCCGGGGACTTTGCAGCGTCGGCGCTGGCTGGCACTGCCGAGATTTGTCTGAATTTCGCGAAGGCGATGTTGACCCTGAAGTGTTGGAGCTGGCGCGAGGCGCTGTGCCTGAAGACGCGTTCTTTTCGAGGGCCTTGTTCCCGCGCTCTGGGCCACCTGCTTTGCCTCCTCGGGGCGGCCCGGGACATTGGCACTCTGACGAGGCTGCTCGGGCTGAACCACGCGCCGTCACTGGCGACATCTTCGCGGACGGCTCGTGCAAGAAGCTTGTGGGTTTGGATGCAGTTTTCAGACCGGGGTGGGGGTGCGTGGTTGTTGGTGGCGCGCGGTGCTTCGGCGCGACGTTCGGACCGTTGCCGGGGCGTCGCCAGACGTCAGGCAGGGCAGAGTTGAGCGCGATAAGTCAGGTTCTGAAGGTGGGAGCGCCCCCTTTTGCGCATCTACTCGCTCATCGGCGGGCTGAAGAGAGGACGCCGCTGGCGCGCCTGCTCGCGGCGGGAGAACGTTGACCTCTTGAAGCAGTTGCTCCACCGCATCAGAGATCACGGTGGCGCAAGCTGCCAGGGGGAATCGTTCCGATCACATTCGCATACGTGAGAGGACATCGGAAAGATGACTGCTGGGAGAAGCGCTGCAACGACCTTGCGGGCCAGGCTACCAAGCGAGGCCGTAAGTTGCGCGATGCGCCGCAGGACGCGGTGGACAGCTGCTCCCTCGCGCTGACGCAGACGAGGCTGGCGGCGGCGTGGATAGGCAACGCGTCGCAGCTCCAGTTCACGGGGGCCCCCCCCCCCGATCGGGTCGGGCCTCCTCGGCGGCGGAACGCCTGCGCCGAGCGTGGGCCGCCCGCGGCGCTGCCCCTGGCGCTCGGCTGCAGGGGGTCTGGCCGACGGCCCCGCGGCGCCGCCCTCGCCGCCGCCTCCGCGGGCGCCCGCGGAGCATCCGCGTCGAGCGAGGAGGGCGGGTAGAAAGTTTGCCTGCGATCGCTGCGAGGCTTTCCCGCCTTGACCGCCCGAGGTGCGAAGGCCCCCGGGCCCCGCGCGCGCAGTTGCCGAGGCGGCGGCCCTCTGAGGCCTCGAGGGTACTTTTCCCAGCGCGGCGGGCCCTGAAGGGTCGAGATCTTCCTGCGTTGGCGAGTCGCCTCGGGCCGTGAACTGCGGGGGCCCCATCGAGGCCCATCCTCTCGAGGCCACTGAAGTCTCGGGGGATTCTAGGGGGCCGCCGCCCTCGGAGTTTGGCGTCCTCGAGCGGTCCCTGGCGTTTACGAGGGTGCATTTCCAGACGGACGATGGGGAGGGGGAATGACGTCCTGTGGGAGGCCTGCAGGCAGGCCAATGTTGCGAAGCCCTCGCCCCCCGCGCAAACCCCCTTCCGCGCCTCCTTCGTCGGCCATCCCCCTCGCCGGGAAGGGGGAAGCCGGTCGCGGAGAGTCGCGGGCCCTTGATGGGCCGCGCCCGAAGGCGCTACGCTTGCCCCTCGGCCTCCTGGAAGGCGCTGGCGAGCCTCCTGCCGCCAGCCGTGCTAACGGGCCTTCGCCCGCCAAGCGGATTCG